TGGATACTTTGAATGGAATTATGTGGATTTCAGAATATGAAGAAGAAGCCTTGGTTTGTGCAGTTACAAGATAACAATTAAAATTTGTCTGGATGGGCCAGTGTTGACAAAATAGAAAAGAACTTAAAAAAAGATGAAAGGTCTGCTGGAGCTTTAAATGCAAATAAAGCGTGAACATCAATAAAATAACCGCCAAGGGAGAAAAAAAAATATAACTGTTTAGTTTAAGGCTAAGACGACACTGAAGCACTCATTAAGCAAGATGGAAGTGCTCAACACGTTTTGAGCCTCGCTTTAGGGCTTAAGCACGTCTTTGACAATAATGGGATGGGCTAATAGAAGTTTTAGCATGATGCGTCTTTGTGTTTATTATTACGACTGCCTTATAAATCTAAGTCGGATCCTCCAAAAATGCCACTGCACACGTGTCGAATTGTAAACCTTATCCCCATCAATGAAGTTGAATAGTAACTAGTAAACTTTGAATATTTAACTAATTAAACGTAAAAGGTCGTCATAATTACACAATAATCAATAGCCATTTAACTTAATTAAATAGAAATCGAGTCAAATTATATTGTTGACCAAAACTATTACAATAATTCTGTCAAGTCCTAAAATTTATGTGATGACGAATCTGGCCTCTAGATCTACACTTGTATTGGCACCGAACATCATAGTTTATTAAGGCAGTCTGAGAATTAGTTCTCAACCATAGAAGATATTTATAAGTCTTTTCTCTGCTTTTGCGTCTTTATCAACTTGGTTCTGCTCTTGACCAAGCTGGTGCAGCTAAAAACTGCAAAGCTATTAGCCAAATATATTTGCTATAATCTGCTGTGAAACTTCAGTAATGTGATTTTTAATTGCATGACCAATAACCAGGATGATCCAGATAATATCACCAGATTTCTGATACTAGCGAGGGAGCCCATAATTTCGGGAACTGATAGGCCATATAAGGTAATATCATATTCTTCTTCATTGAACTTATTTTGTTCATACAAAGAATTGATGTTCCCTTTTCATTTTCTAGACTAGCATTGTCTTCACTTTGGAAGAAGGACCTGGAGTTCTATTCAAGGCCTTAGCAGTTTTTGCTCTGAGAGAGATCAATTTAACAAAGGTATTTCTGTTGGAAAAGCTTTTGTAGTTCCCTTCTCTAGTTAAAAGGCTCTGATACATGTTCTGTTGCATTCATACAGATTGAAAGCAGACCACAAAAAAAGCGCCCTTTAAGGGTAGTAGATGACTCCAACAAAGGAAGTGCCAAGTGAGTCTTAAATCTGTTTATTGCGCTAAGAACCATGGAATAGTAACTGAAACCATGTCGGCTTTGTTTCATTTGTCTTTTCTGCTCTGGATATCTTTGATTTGTAATCCCTGGTTCCCATTACCATTATTTGTTGCCACTATTCAGTTAATTTTTTTTAGAAATATAAGCTTGAACTCCCCGTGTATGAGTTTCGCAAAGTACAGCTAACCCCACATCCAAATAAAGGAGGGTTTCAGTGGGTTAAAAGACAATGTAAAATTTGATGTATTGAGTTTGATGGTGTCATTCTTGAATTCAATATTGTTTGTGAATCCTTTAGATGTTGAATTCGTGAATAGAGTGGAATGACTATATTGGGTTCATCACCGACTCCTACTAGTTTGGAATTGATCATAGTTGATTGATTGATGTAATAGTTCTTCAAAATTCAAAGTTGACTTTATGCCCACAACTTAGCTAATTTCTTCTTAAAGAAAAAAGAGATTTCGTAAAAATCATCTTTTTGGGTGTGTTTGGTAGGGAGGACAGCATTTTACAGAAAATGTTATCTAATTTACCCGTGTTAGGTTGGTCATAATGTTCTGAAAAATATCTTTTTAGGAAAATGACTTTCTTGGTGGGAGTAGGGAAAACAAGTTCCATAAGCGGCAATGCACGCTCATTATCTCCGCCACACTCCTAACACCCCAACCACTCACCCTCCAACCCACCATTGTCCCCACACCCATCCCATAGTATTTTCCTAGATTATGTTTTAAATGTTTTTAGAAGAATTTTTTTTGCTTACTTACCAAACAACAAAAATAAGTAGTTTAAGAAAACATTTTCTAGGAAAACACTTCCCGTCTTAACATTTTCCTTTGTTTCATTTGCAATTGTGAGAAAAAATAAAAAATTATTGTAAGGTGTATTTAACTAGTTCCCTCCCTCCCTACAATATATTTGTTATTATGACCTTGCCCCACTCCATGACCCACACTACTTCAAGGTTGTGGTTACTGAAGCATGTAGATAAAGCAACATAATTTGGAGGAAAGATGGATCTTCAAATTAGTGAATTTAGTCCTTTCGTCTGGTATAGGTATGATATGCTACTATAGAGGTCCTTGATAGCATAGTGTACTTCTAATTTTCTGTTGTCTAACTTGTTAAAGTTATATGTATCTATAATATATGGCTTTATAAATTGTTCAAGTGCCCAAGGCTTAGCCAAAAAAGAAGAAAAAAATAGTTCAAGTGCCTTGAAAACAAAGGGTATCTATCGCACAAGTCATTGAGATGGCTGTGTTTGTTTATCCTTTTCACTTTGCTGGGGAAGAGAAGAGTGGAATTGGAAGTTTTGAATTTGTGTTCATCCTTGTTTAATAGAAGAAGCAAAAGAATTAGAGTGGATAACTGCACCCATTAATGTGACCATATTTAGTTACTCACCACTTCCTTTTCAAACTATATATTTATTTCACAATACAACCTTCTCTTTATTATAAAATCTTCTTCTTTCCCACTTTTCCAAACCATAGATGTTGTTTAGTCATAGCAAGATTGAAAAACATCCAGTAGCTCCAGTCCCTTAATTTTTCTGGCTGAAGAAACAAGTGCAAGATGATCCTTTATGTTTACACACCGGCACATGTTGCCTCTTCTCATGGCTAGGGTATATTTGAGGTTGGCCTACTTGTGTTTCTGTGGAACTTAAGAAAGTGATTAAATTTTGATGGCAGGTACTTTGACTACCTCTTTTACATTGACTTTGAAGCATCGATGGCAGACCCTCGTGCTCAATATGCTCTTGAGCATCTTCAGGTTAGTACAACAATCTCTAATATGACCCCTCAGCCAGAAAACAAGTTGCTAAGGTAGCTCTATTACCATTTACATGTGTTGTCTTGTTGCTATCTTGTGCCACCTGTTCGTCACTTGATCTTCCAAATGCATTTACTATTTATTAATATCAACATCAGTTGTTGCCTTCTTGCCTTTCTTGTTTTTAGAGTTCTTGGCAACAGAATTGATATCAACATCATGTGCTATTTCTTTGGTTGCTCATTCTATTCCTTTTTGTGCAATAGAAACCTGTTGGTATGTGTATAATAGACACACACACTCACACATATTTCCAAATGTGGACAGTGCAGATTCCTATATCCGACCCCAACTTGGTTTGGGAATGAGGCATAATGCTGTTGGCTTTCCTCCTATTTGATATCCTCTCTTTGCAGCTTGTATATTATGGTCTGCCATGCTGGCAGAATTTGAAGACCACGTCTCTAAATCTCCTAATGTTTCTTCAATGCAGGAATTTGCAAGATTCATTCGAGTTCTTGGCTGCTATCCCATGGACAAAAATCTATGATTGCTTATCTTTCAGAAGTATATTATAGGAGATTCAACTTGTAGAGGAGTTGTTCAACTTAAATTGTTGTATGTGTATTATCTGCTGGGAACTTCCAGTCCAGTAGGCCATTGTTGTGCCTGCCCTGTGCTCTCATATTCTTTCCATCTGCATTTTAGAAAATTTGTTGGTTCAGTTTACACCCCACCCCCTTATTTTTCTAGGCTAGCTGTTAGCAAATCTCAGGATAGCAATGAACTATTGCTTCACCTGTAGCTTTTGTCCAATGGGCAAATTGTTTATCTAGAACTCTCCCTCCCTTTGCTGAGAAAAATGTTGATGTATCCAGGGCCCTTGTGTTATACATCTTTAACTTCAGTGCTTATATTCAAATACCCCTATTATGTTTATGTTATCTATTTAGGCCCTATTTAGTGGAGTCCGAAGCCTTAAGTGGAAAAAAAAATTGTCAAAATTTTTATAGGGATACAATAATTTCTTTTTTAACAAAAGGGCAAAAATGCTATTGACCTACCAGCGAATTTGTCAATAAATAAGGGCAGAATTAGTAATCAAGTCTTATAAATCTATGTGAAGGTGAGAGTTGTTTGTTGCTTATGTGACATCCACATGGCGATTAACACACCTCTGTTAATAATAAGGGTAAATGTGATCCAATATTTTAACACGAAGGTATTTTTGAAGCAAAAAATAGTGGAAAAGTAATGTGAGCTATTTCCAATAGTTCAATGATAATTTTGATCCTTTTCCGTTACTTAATTAATCTAAATAGATTTGGATTATTAACATCTGTAACAGGTTTGTAACATCATTTAGACATCTAATTTTTTACAAAGATGTCAGTGTACTCCCCAACCATTAATTTTTAGGCACAATTACCACTTTCGTCAGTCACCACCCTTACTGTCAGCCACAACTACTGCTTTGCTTTCATTGATCACCGTGCATTCTTAGCTACAATTACCCATCAATTAACCACCAAAATCACTACTCAATTGACACACCCTTACAATCTATAGCTTTCAATTGACACACCCTTACAATCTATAGCTTTCATCTCACTATTATCACTGTATATCGTTAATCACTATCATCATTAGCTATCATTATCACTATCAATTACTATAATCACTACCCACTCGACACACACAATATATATTTTTAAAATAATTTATTGATATAACATTAAATTAACCGTTTTTAATCGTTAAGTATTTAAATGTATATTGAATATCCAGACATTTAAATCTTATAATAAAAATAAATGAGACACTTGATTGTTTCTCTGTCCAAAATTATTTCGTACGGTCCTAATTGCTAACGCAAAAGATGATATATAGCCATGATGAATGAAAGATTTGATGTCTGCACTTGCTGATTGGATAATTTCATACATACACAAACTCAAAAGGTGAATAGGAACCAGCAAGACATACTCAGCAAGTTAGAGATGTCAAATTCACATTGTAACACACGAAAATGTCTGGAGAAGTGCTTAAAGGAGTAGTTGATTACGGTACTAGACACATATGCATTAGTCTGCATGTGAAGATAAACACCACAGCAGATTATTTATTGATATCTAGTGAAATACGAACAAGCATCTTCTTGACCAGTTACTTGGACGATTCTAGCTCCTTCAGAAAATCCTTATTGTCAACCAGCACCTACGCATAAACGCAACACACAAAGTGAGCTCATATCCCATTGATTACATACATGCCTTGGAAAAGGACAGAAAAACAATGATACAGCCTGTGATAGCCAGACACTTACTGTTTTCCAGCCATCTGGATCCAGAAATGAAGTTATCTTGGTGTTAAGTCCAGGAATTGATCCTGGCTGTCTAGTTATCTTTCCTCCGAGCTCTTGGATAGCAAGATTGACAACCTTCGCGCTTTTGTAGACATCATCAGTGCCTATTGCAATCTGGAAGAAATCACATGCAAGTTTAGCCTAAAAGATGTTTGGAATAATTACATGGTTAACCGTTGATCATGGGGATACCAATGACAATTCCAAGTGAATTTCAATCAAGAAAGAGAATATAATGTTTTTACAATATTCTAAACTTTGGCCAGAAAACATGGATTCTCTCTCTCACACAACCAAAAAAAAAAAATGAGAAGAGGAAAGAGAGAGCCAAGAGCATTGGATGATCATTCCTTGAGTGAGAACAAGGAAAAGGATCCGAGACTTGGTTGGAAGGTATTCCCCGAGCAGTACGCCCACATTACTCAAAAAGGGGACAAAAGAATTGAAAGGAGGAGAAAATATGCATGCTAGTAAATCAACCTGTGCGTATGCATTTCCCTTTGTGTATTCAGTCACACCATAGTTGTATGTCAACTCAATAACAGTCGTCTCTTTCTCTGGAGCATATCCCATCATAGCAATGGTATACTGCCCAAGCATAAAAGATAAGAATTAGTTATTGTACATGTAATCTGGGCTCCAAGGCTAGCAAAAGAAAAATCAAACTTAGCTTATAGTTTCAAAAAACAATCAAGCATACCTTATGCTCTGGTCTATCAACTTTCTTCACCACTTGCATCCCAAGTGCCTGCATTCAAAGACAAGCTCTGTCAAACCACAAATTGCACAGTGTGCCTGTAGATTAAAAAAATACAACATAGACAATTACATTATGGCCCAAGCTGATGTGTATTCATGTCTAAAGCCATCATGCGTACAACACCATTACAAAGAGCAACAACTATGAATGCATTGCAATTATCTTCTTTCGGAATTCCAATCACAGTGGGTATACCTTGGACATATTTGAAGGGTCACATTGATTAAGGCTTGAGAAAAGTAACAGTTTAGCCCCGTAAACATGTTTAACCCAATGCTATCACTATATTGATTTGAAATAAAAGAAATTATTGCTCATTGTTTCAAGAGAATGGAGTGACAGATGAAGATGTTACTCATAGGGTTAACCAGATGATTCTAACTCAAAAGGGTTAATCAGATGATTGAAATGGAAAAGTGCTACTGGGGTGTTATGTGATAAAAGGATACCTACCAAAGTAAAAGGTCAGTTCTATAGAATAGCTATAAGACCGGCTATGGTATATGGAGAACGCGGGTTGTTAAAAGTCCAATATATCCAAAAAATGAGTGTTGCGGAGATGTGGATGCTAAGCTGGATGTGCGTTCAAACCAGATTACAAATGAATGCATTTGCCAGAAGCTGCAACTATTACACATTGAGGATAAATTGCTAGAAGGTCTCTTGAGATAGTTTGGACATGTTCTGAGTCAACCTATTGATGCACCGGTACATAGGTGTGAAACTATGGCAAGTGAAGTGTTAGAAGGAGATAGGTTAGACCTAAAATAACATGGAAAAAAGTTGTTTCAAAAGACCTGCAAATGTTTCGTATCAATACAGACTTAGCAAAGGATGGGGCACGATGGAAGAAAAAAGTTCATACGGGTGATAGCTACAACTTGTTTGGGACTTGCTTAGTTGTTGTTGCTGCATTGCTTTTGGTGTATTGTATAAACTAGATTTGAGACAAATGCATGTGTCCATAAAAATGACAAGCATCTTCTTTTCATTTCATGCTGGAAATTTCTGTCTGAAGTTTGCATTTGGCAAATCAAGGATATAACACAAAAGGATATCTAAAAAAAGAGAAAATATAAATAAGAGATGTCACCTTTTCGTAGAATTTGATCGCACGTTCAAGATCCCCCACACGAAGCATCACTTGGCAAAGTGGTTCAGGAGTAGACTCTCTCTGGATGATTTCAAATAGGTAGCCATCAGGATCTTTGACAAAAGCAATAACACTAGATCCACCCTTGACAGGACCAGGCTCCCTTGTGACAGTTCCACCCTTGGCCTTTATCTCCTCAACCAGTTTGTAAACCTTGAGAAAAGGAGGAACAAAGCTCATTTAGAAGAAACAAATGGTGCGCATAATTTTGCTTACAAAATTTACTTACATCTGGTGTGGCAATAGCAAAATGCCCAAAGCCGGTTCCGATGTCATACTTATCAACTCCATAATCTGTACAATGGTATCTATGTAAGATTTGAAATTTACGCTTCAAGGTACAGTATATAATTCATTTATTGGTGTTGGATAATAGGTAAACTATTTATTAAAATCTATGCTCCTTAACTAAATGATGTGCCTTTGGTTCAGTAAAATCAAGTCACCTCCTGGCATCCCCTTCTCCACGTGGCTCTCTATTGGACCATATACTGAGTATCCTAACAATGTTATGCATGCTTCATTCTCCAACTCTCTCTCCACCACCCAAAGAGAACCCAGAGAACAAACCAAGAACAACTTCTAAGAGCTAAGAGGAAGGAAGAAGCAGCGGATTAGCGACATCTAAGACTAGTTTCGCTTCCTTACTCGCTTACTACAGCTGCTTATTTCCTCTTATCGACAAGCAAGGAGTTTTCTCACCAAATAGCAGCTGCACCGATGAAACAAGGGAGTTCTTTCGCAGAGACAAGGGAAAACAATCATTCAATGAGGTCAAAGAGACGTATTTCGAATTAGAGTAAGGGCACGCTGAGACATTCCTTTTCGTGCTTTCGATCTGCTTACTTTGAATAAAGAGAAAAAAAAGAATAGATAGGCGGAAAGGCTTTACACAAGACCACAGAGCGAGAGAGAGCGCCTTCGCTTACCTGCTTAACCGTACCCTCCTATCGTACCTATATAGCCTTTCCTTCAGTTATATCCAGTTTCAGTTCTGCTTCCAACTACCGATGGGAGAAGGCTTGGACGTATAGCAAGATTAAATAAGAGGTATTGCATACGGGAATGATATATGAAATGACAGGTTGGAAACAGAGCTGGAGATGAGCGCTAGCCAATGGTTAAGACTTCAGAAAGCACCTTAGCAATTACCAGTAATGCCCCTATCGACCTCAGTCTTGTTTTTTGCTAGCTTGAGTTCATAACTTTACTATTTATCATTAAACGTAGAATATCCCGACTTCGCTAGCCAGAACGAAATGGACATATGAGCGATCGATTACGAGAGCTCGACCGATCAGACCCGAAAGAAGAGAAAGAAAGGTCAATCTCCGAAAGGCCTTCGCAGAGCTGGACCAGAAGCTTCTCAAGCTCAAGCATTTACTTTTCTAGTTAGAGACCAACGTCTTGGGACTAACGTCGGATCCGCTCAAGGACCTACTGGTTTAGGTAAATATCTAATGCGTTCCCCAACCAGAGAAGTCATTTTTGGAGGAGAAACTATGCGTTTTTGGGATCTGCGTGCTCCATGGTTAGAGCCTCTAAGGGGTCCAAATGGGTTAGACTTGAGTAGGTTGAAAAAAGACATACAACCTTGGCAGGAACGGCGTTCCGCGGAATATATGACTCATGCTCCTTTAGGTTCTTTAAATTCCGTGGGTGGTGTAGCTACCGAGATCAATGCAGTCAATTATGTCTCTCCTAGAAGTTGGTTAGCTACCTCTCATTTTGTTCTAGGATTCTTCTTCTTTGTAGGTCATTTGTGGCACGCAGGAAGGGCTCGTGCAGCTGCAGCAGGATTTGAAAAAGGAATTGATCGCGACTTTGAACCTGTTCTTAACAAATCCATGTAATTTTAAGGCAAAGGAGTTCTAAGACAATAGGCTAAATCTCAACGCTCGCACCTTCTTTAGAGGCTTATCACACGGCATGAACTCCATAGAGAGATGACCAAAATCCTTTTCTTTCATGGAATTGATAAGGGAGCTTTCTAGAATTGAGAATCAAAATGTGTAAGTTGTAACAGACATATAAAAGCTTTAAACTTACTATATGTCAACTCAACCACAAAGTGAGACTCTTCAGGGCCAAAACCAAGAAAAGCATTCGAATACTTCTCCTCTGGAATATCTCTCTGCCTCAACAATTTCATCCCAAAACATTCTGTGTAAAACCTAACAACAATAAGAAGATACTATTACTATCTAACCAAGAAAACAAGATCAACACTTGTAACATCTAACCACCTACTTGATGGTACGTTCAAGGTCACCGACACGATATACAGCATGCAACATTCTGCGCTTATCTTTCTTTGGCCACTCCAACAACTCAGTACTTGGTACAGCTGGTGCACTTGCTTCCGCCATGTTCTACTACAAATAAAAATTGTAGATTCTAAGAAAGAAAGAAATCTCAAAACAAACAACAAAGAACACAAATCATACAGAAGTATCACTAATTTTTATCACAAAATCCCTACAAATCTTCCAAGATGAAAAATTACTCAAAGCATTTACTAGAAACTCTTTACAATGCCATCAAGAATTGAAGAACAGAGTAAAACCCTAAATTAAAGAAAAAAAATATGTAGAGAGAGGAAAGTGTTACCAGATTGAGAGAGAGTGAGATCAGTCGTGGTAAAGTGAAGAATCGATTTGAACAACCTAGAAACAAGAAGATGCTAATTTATGCTGAATGAATTGTGCTGTGATCTTACGCGGTCGGTACTACAGAGATAGAACACGTGGTTGAATATTAGAAGGTGTTGTAAGAGAAAGGTGAATAAAAAGACGGAAAACCCCATAAAGGCATGAGATGTCAATATTTCATTGGATAAAATAAACTAATATATGTTTCTTCTTAAGTTACGAGTGGCAGTATTTAACACCTACTACTTCTGACGTGGCAGCACAATTGTCGTGACTTAAGGGTGTGTTTGGTACCAAGGAAAATGTTTTTCATCGAAAATGTTTTTCTAGAAAATAAGTAGATTTTGAATTTTTTTTCTCATGTTTGGTTGGTGAGTAGAAAATATTTTTTGAAAATGATTTTTAGTGTTTGATTTATGTATAAAAAATGTTTTTGAGAGACATTTTTTATTTTTACTAGGGTAGAAAATAATATGAAATTAAAAATATTTTCTAAAAACAAATTTTTTTTTTGGTGGGGAGAGGGGGTAAGAGTGAAAAAATAAAAAATTGAACTTTATAGTATTTTTTAAAAAATAAAATTAATTTTTTGGTGGGTGAGGGGTGAGGGGAGGAGGGGGATAGGAGTTTAAAAATAAAAATTTGAAGTTGAAAATAATTTAAAAAGCAAAATTATTTTTTTGGGGAAGGGGTGGGGTTGGCCGCTAAATTTAAAAAATAAAATTTTAAAATTGATTTTTTTGAATTGTTGTTTTTCCCGCAAAAAATGTAATTTAAAATTGAAGGAGAGTTTTGGAAAATGTTTTTTTTTTTAATTTTTGAAGAAAAGTCATTTTCCTTAATTTTGAGGAAAATGAGTTAATTTGAAAAATATTTTCCAAAACTTTTTTCCTAACCAAACATAAAAAAATTAAAATATTTTTCAAAAAATATTTTCCTTCATACCAAACGGACAAATTTTTGTTAAAATTTGAAACTCCAAACCCAATAATAAATATGATGCAAAACTCTCTTTTTTCCCACTATTTTTTCATAACACATCATTAAAAAAAATACTCAATTGTTAATATATATATATTTTTATTGTATTATTTCTATTAAATAATAATATTTAGTGTTGTATTTTGAAAAATAATTTAGAAATAAATATTTAATATTGAGTATAAAACATGAAAAAAATAATTATTTTTTATTGATATATAAAAAAAAAAATATTAAGAAGGAAATACTTACTTATATTAAAAGAAAGGTAAATAATGAGAAAATAAATAGAAGTTTAGTTTCTGATTCCATCTGATTATCGATTAATATTTATCGTAGAATCTTACATGTAATTACTTGATAAATGATATAATTGTCTAAATATTTTCGAATTTAAATTGTTGTGTTTATTAAGAAGGAAGGATTGGGCCATAACATAGATATTTTGGGCCAGAATTCTAATATGTTTTGTGCCATATGAGCCTGATCTGTTAGCACCGCTTAAGATCGCATTTGAATTAACTTAAAAGCTGGTTAAATATATTTTCAAATAAATATTTAATTTATAAAAATATTTAATAATTATAAAGATATTTTTAAAAAAGTTAAAAATAACTTAAATTAAGTTAGAAAGTATTTAACAAGAGTATAAAAAACTTAAAATAAGTTTAAATAACTTCAAATAAGTTAACTGCTTTTTATATTTTGACTTAAAAATGATTGAATTATTTTTAGAAAAGTTTCCTTTATAGATTTACATAGGAAAAAAAAAGATCTTTTGTCTATTATTTTTAGATTTACTAAGGCAATGCAAAAGCTAGCTTAAAATCAGCTCATGAAACAACCCAAACTTGTTCCTATCCAATCTTTCAACTCAAATAATTTGATTCTTTTGTAATCAATGTTCACTTAAATGGAGAAAGGCCATTGACATATGTTATATCGAAAAAGTCTATCTATTTTTATCTTGTTTTTTATTTTAAAGTTTTTTTTTTTAATTTCAATTTATCTGTTTCAGTTTTAAAAATTTACATTTCAAAGACATTATAAAATTTTTATAGTCATATAAATATTATAACATGTTAAAAGAATTCATAATCATTCAAATTTATGTCGTATATATTGAAATCTAAAAAAAAAATTATAATGAAAAGGTAATGAGTATCAAGTTGAACAATATTATTCTTAATTAAGGTGTCCCCCTCCCCTAAAATCCCAATCATGGATTTCCATGATCTTAATAGATGGTGGAGGCAAAATTAAAAGTGCTTGTAAGTAACCCTTGTGAAATTCTAAGGGGCAAAGACTTAATATATATTCTATGAATTATTATGGAGTAACTTTTATTAGCTAGTGGGCACTCCATAGCCAAACGTATTTTTTTCATTATTATTATTTTTATTCTGATACCTGACGTTGATATTACTATTAAAAAGACTTGTTGTGGGAAAACATCTATTATTTTATTATCATAATGATAAGAATATAATACTATTGTCGTTTACCATATCTTTTTTTTTTTTTCCAATTGTTTGTGGGTTAGAATCTTTGTTAGATACTGAGCATTTTGAAAGGACATCTAAAAGTGACCAATTGAATAATAGTTGTGTATTTTTATGCTTCCTTAACGAGATATATCGATTTTGAATTTGAATGTGTAAAATTTTTTTGTTAGAAAATGTTTCTAGTTGAATGGGTCTTATGCGGTGTAAATTTAAAATAATTAAATTTTAATATAATAATTTTTTATTTATTTTTTAAATATTTGAGGAGAGAAAAAGATAACGATATTCCTTCCTTTGAATATACTCACCACACTTCTTGGTTATGAACAACTTGGAGGAAATTCACTCTGCTTCTTGTCTTTTTAGGGTCAAACTAAGTGGCTGTTTGCCACAGTTTCCAAATATTTCCTACTTGTTTGGAGTTTTGCGAGGTAAAGTTAAATGATAAAGTTGTGATTGATTATATTTTTAATAAAAATATATTATTCTATGTTTAGATGTGCTATAATATAATTTCAAAAATGAAAAATACATTGGAAAAGAAGTTGTACTAGTTGTTTCTCAAATTTTCAAGTATATCTTTTAAGTTGGATTTATAAGTTTTATTGTTGAACAATGTTTTATAAATAAAATGAAAAATTATGTCGAAGAAAAAGTTAATTCACTTTTATGCCCAAATGGGTTCTAGTCTCGAGTCCGAAGTTAAATGTATACAAAATAGTAAAATTCCTAAAAGTTCAATAAAAACGAATACGAAATGAAAAGAGCAATATTCAGACAATGATGATAAATTCTATGTATAAAGTTTATGTCATAATATAAGTCTTACGAGACTCAATAAAAAGAACACACAATTTAGAGTCGTGTATCATTCAGTTCAATCCAATTTTAAAATTTATTAAATTGATTTATTAGTTAATAGTTTAGCATGTTTACAAATCGATAATCAATAAATTTTTAAGTCGGACTGAATCAAATATGCAACCCTAAATTGTCTTCTTTTTTTTACATAAGAAAGATATAAAGAAAATTGTTCTTTATATATTTATTCATGTCCCTATATCTTTCTCCTCAATATTATCAAATTATATTAAAGAAACTATTAAATTTGATCACATTACTTACTTTTATTTACACACACAAAAAAATATATAAAAACATAACAATAAAATGATTCAATAAATAATAAAAAAGAAATAATTCTTTTTCTAGAAGTAGCATCGTTCTTCTATACAAGTAAAGGCTCCTGTCAAATTAACTTTGTAACTCATATTAGAGTGAGCTTCAAACATGAAAAAAATCTAATAAATTAGAAAGAATTGAAGGAATGTACTAGTAAGACTCATTCTAATAAGAGCCATATACATGGAAATTTTAGTTATAACATTTCAATTTTTAGTTTAAACATCCATGATAGGACCCATTAAAAGAAAGAGATAAGCAAAATAGCTTTTGAACATATATAGATTGATTTTCAAATTTGAAACAGTTGTTTAGATCAATTTTAAGTATATTATTGTAATTTTTTTTCCACTCACAAAGACTTCTATTTTTTCAAGTATATATATATATATATATATATATATATATATATATATATATATATATATATATATATATTCAGACATAATTTAATTTCAAATAACCTTGTTTTTTTTTTTTTTTTTTTTAAATATGATTTCATTTCGAACACATTTTGTTATTTCAAAAGTGTTGGATTCTGAAAGTGATTACAGCGTGATGTAGAAGTTTACAATTGCAAATCTTTGAGATGGTAAATTAGATGAAAAACAACCCTATTCTAAATAACATAATATTATTAGAGGTTAACCAAATGACCTACATATTAAAAACTAATACAAAAATTATTAAAATTGTTTAAGGAAAATCTCTCCATAAACAGTTTTCTTTAATGACTATATTGTGGATGTTCTTGTGTTATGCTATAATTAATTCATAGATATCCAAGCTTTTCCTTTAAAGGAAAAATAAATCAATTATAGAAGAAAATTATATTTTTCTTTTAGAAAAAATTCAAGCAATTATGAAAATATTTAACTTTTTTTAAGGAAAAAAATATACTTCAAAAAAGGAATAAAATAAGGCAAAACCCTAACACAAAACCACTATCCATCAACATCCAAAATTTAGGGGAAAAAAAAAACAAATCCCTCAAATGCAATTAATTTTTTTTAAATATTAAATCAAGTCAAATTAAATTATTAATTAATTTTTTTCTGATTCAACTCAATTTTTTTAATATATATATATATATATATATATATATATATATATATATATATATATATATATATATATATATATATGTTAATTCCGGACCAGTTATCAAAATGGATATTGTAATGCATATATACTTATTTTTTACCATATAAATAGCCAAAAGTTTTATACTACCTCATATTGAACCAAATGATTGTGTTGATATAAACTTTCCCCAAAATATAGAGTCCGAAATTTAAGTAAGCCATAAAAATTTAAAAATGATTAAAATAAGTCATTATTTTAGTAAGTAACTAAAATAAACTTAGTGAAGGAAAAAGTTTCACTTTATCTAATTTTCTAAACGTTTTCCGTTAGTGTCATAAAATGTACTTTTAATATATAACGAAACTTTTTCTTACACTTTATTAAGTGTAAGAAAAGTGAAACTTTTTCTCCACTTCATAAAGCGGAAGAATATCTTATACTTTCTAAAGTGGAAGATTTGTAAAAAATTATTTTACCTTTTCACCTTCTCCTTCTCCCTCTCACTTTCATGACTTTCAAAGTTTTTTTTTTCACTTTGAAAATTAACATTTGATGGTTCCAATCCGACAGCTGAAGCGGCCCCACACTAAACAAATCAAAATTTCGGAGTAGCACATTCGATAACATAACAATTCGATCCTACAAATTATATAAATTAGATACTTCTTTAACATCTCATATTTTATTTACTTTGAGTGTGTTTCATTTTTCTCATCTTATGTCTAGTCTAGTATCATTTTGCCTAGCGGTTCAAATGGGTCAGTTGAGTCTGTTGTGTAAGTAACCGTGTTTTTGTGCCACCCATTTTCTGAAATGTTATGAAGTTCTAATTTTGATCACTTTCAATTACTCAAAAGGAATTACACTAAATATTTTCCTTTTTCTCATTCAATTCTACTCTTTTTCAGTACATATATAATCAACCTGTTAGGAAAAAATAGAAAAAGAAGTCTTTAATTCTATGTGCATTCAATTACTATATTGAGTTAGAAAAAAATCTTTAATTCGAAAGAAAGAAAAGGAATTACACTATTGGATTTGTACTGCAAAAATAATATTTAGACTGAATTAGACCTTTCCATCTCATGTTTTTTACTTCTAGATGAACACTCAATACATTTGTTCATGCCGGCATTTTTTAACTTTACCACGTACAACGTGTCTAAAGTACCATTTAGATCCCATCAAAGTACAAAAAATAAATAACAATAGAGTATTATTTTTATGTACATAAAATGTGTCTAGATCCTTAAAAAAATTGACAACAAATTTTCTAATATCAAATCAGTCTAATAGGATGATTAACGCCATATATATAGGCTTGTTTGTATAAGAATTATCTCAATCAAAGTTTCATATATTAATTCGATACTCGATAGATATTTTTTCAAAATTGAAATTGCACGAGTGGTTATATTCTTATTAATTCAATTGGTTAAATTTGTCCCCAAAACTGAAAACAAAATTCATCAAACATATAGTCATCCCTCAATTGTTCCAATATATGGTTCCATCTCTTTCTCTTTAGATATATCTTTCTTTTGGTTCTTTTTTTTTTCTATTTTATTTTTTTATGGTTGACTCGACAAATAACACATTGAATTGACTTGCTGAAGTTAGAGATTCTTAAACTCTCGTACAATTATTTGTTTGAAAATAGTTTACGATTTAATTTGTCAAGATATAATTATACTAAACGAATTAATATAATTTTTCTTACAGTATATAATGGAGCGTGTTGTGATTTCTGGACAGATAGATCGTACACTTCTTTCTCTCTCAGCATGAGAATAAATCAAAATTGTTACGCAAATGCGAAATACCATTTAGTAGCCTTATGAGGACGGTGCACATGAAGGATGCCTGAAATTTATTTCGTTTGCACCAACCTCATAAACGTGTTGAGGAGACCATAGACTTTTTCAAAAGAACCCTCCCAAGTACCATAGACTTTTTCAAAAGCCCACTTGCGATCAAGATAGGCCTTAATCTACTTATCGAAATGTCATATGCTTTAATGATGACTATTTGACAGTCTTTGAAGGGAAAACTGAAAAGTAATAATAATATTATTTATCAAATAAAAAATAAATATTTTCTTATTAAATAAAAATCATCAAAGGAAAAAATGGTACCTTGGCGTTCTTCCTATATCAACACGGAGGACATTAGCAATCATCTCAATATCCAAGTTGAAATGTCCTTTGCGGCACGTACCCACATCACATGTATGTTCTTTAATGTATCTTCTAACTTTCCACATGTTAGTATGTTTATCAATAAAAGAAGTGAACCTAAATCGACATCCTTGTTCTACACACCTGCAAACAAATCGCCATGATTTCTTTGTCGATTTAAACAAAGCACTGCCTTGCTATCTTCAAATGTAGAAGTTCAACTGCTATTTGGAACTGCTTCTTTGAATTGAATAACATATCTTTTTCAATATAAATAGCACCATTCATGAAATATTTAATAGTTTTCTTTAAATCAAAATCATATTGGTCGGTAAGAATATTTTGATAATGAGTCATGTTAGAAAAATCAGTAGATTGAGTTACCATAAATTCATCGACGCTATTACGATTTTCTAATTGGGGATGGACATTGACTGATAATGGAGAACGTTGTTGACAAATCTTAGGCTCCTTCCTAACATAAATTTCAAGTATTGTTAACTTGATTTGATCTATGTAGTCATTTGGAACCCTCAAAAAGTCGGTCAACTATTCGTCATTATAGATAATTCACTCTCCAAATACTTGTCCATGTGATAAAAATGAAGTAGGATATTTTCCGACTATAATCAAATTATAATCAGTGCTATTTATACCCATTCTTTTATAAATTGATGAAATAAATTTATGATATTGAACATTAGCTTTGTGTTTGGGAGGACAATTATAATAAACAGATTTTTGTCATGTATAATTTCGCCATCCCAATAAATTGTAACTTTAACTTTAGGTGTAGAGGTCATTTTTTTTTAGATTGAAATGAACAAATATAGAAGAGTTTATGTTATAGGTGCTATCAACTATGTTTAAATGTCCTTAAATAGAGATTGAAAGATTTTTCAAAATAAAAAAAATAAAAATACATAGTGTATTATTTTTTTTCATTTTTATGATATGTCAAATCAATATAATTGTATGACAACACTTAAAAAAACTTCTCCAGAACATGAAAATTATTCCTCTTATAAAGTGTGAGAATAAGTTTCACTTTATAAAATAAAGTGTAAGAAAAACTTACATCTTATAAAGTGTAAGAAAAAATTTCGTTATATATTAAAAATACACATTATGACACTAACAAAAAACGTTTAAAAATTTGAATATAATGAAATATTTTCTTCCACTAAACTTATTTTTGGTTACTTATTAAAATCATAACTTATTTTGATCACTTCTAATTTTCGTGGCTTATTTAGATTCCGGACTTCAAAATATATAAGTGGAGCCACAAATCTTTAATTTGTCAAAAACATAATTATTATTATTATTACATTTAAATTTAAATAAAAAAGAAATGTAAACCAAAATCTAGAGCAACTTTTGACTGGTGTGAAATGACTATTCTCTCTCCACCACGAATCCTTCCTCTCACTTTCTCTCGGCGGCCTGCCACATGACCGAAGGGCTGAGGTATAATTTGACGATCAGCCAATCAAAACACGCCACGTCAGACTCTCATTCAAATCCCAAATCACGTCCAGGTTCAATGAACCTAGAAGAATGCCCTGTTCTCAGGTCCCCTTTAATACTTCTCACCATGATTTCCTCTGTGTTCAACACACACTCACGGACTTCTTCCCATCACCATCTTCTTCTATTTTTCACAAGCAATTTCTTTGCTGGAACAAATTGTTCTTTGTCTCTGTGAAATTAATCTCTCTTTGTTGTAGAAATGGCTTTGACTTTCACTTCTTCATCTGCAATTCATGGCTCTTTGTCTTCTTCATCTTCTTCTTATGAACAACCCAAAGGTACCCTTTTTACTTATTCCTTCTAAAGTTTGCATCTTTATCCTATAATTTGAAGCATTTTAGCATATGGGTTCGAATTTCTGTTGGGTTAACTCTTTTTTTTATCAATTTAGCATCTGGGTTAGTGTATTCCTCAGTTATTGTTTCAGATTTCTGCGCTATATGATTAGTTTCGAATTTCTTTCCTTGAGTGTGATATATTTGGGTTGGAAAATTGATCATTTGCTCCTTTTTTTTTTCAGATTTTAAAGTTGTTGTTTTTTTATACCCGTGTAGTTGAATTTAATATTTGCCGACAATTTTGCATCTGGGTTCAAATATTCTTAGGTTCTGTTTCATTTTTTTTGGGATTTATTATTTATATATTTGTTTATTCTGTTTGGTGTTTGCAGTATCCCAATTGGGTACCTTTCAGCCATTGGATAGGCCTCAACTATTGTCGTCAACTGTTTTGAATTCTCGGAGGCGTTCGGCAGTGAAGCCATTGTATGCTGAACCTAAGAGGAATGATTCAATAGTTCCGTCAGCAGCTACCATCGTGGCTCCTGGTACATGAAATTTTCAATATTTGTCTTTGCATGTGTTAGTTTTTTTTGATGATGTTGAAGGGTGGTAATGACTCTTGGGCTGTGTGTGTTTGCTTTTTTGGTGAATTTGCAGAGGTAGGAGAGAGTGTTGAGGCAGAGGACTTTGAGAAATTGGCTAAGGAGCTTCAAAATGCTTCCCCTCTTGAGGTTATGGACAAAGCACTTGAGAAATTTGGAGATGACATTGCTATTGCTTTCAGGTACGGTTTTTTAAATCTTGCTTTAGTGTGAGCCTAGTTTCTGTTCAAATGATTTTAGGTTGTATTATATGGATAATGTTCTTTATGATGTGCACAATAAATGTTGAAAAACAACCAGAGGCTTCTTCTAACTAGGGAAGTGTAAGGTGTTAGGGATGAATAGTTCCATGATTTGGGGACAAAAAAATGTTTAGTCATCTAAACCAATAAAACTATGCTTGTGATACTTAATTTCTGTTTCTTAAATATCTTGTTCTTATATTTTTGATTGAGCATTTCCATATTGATATCACATGAGTGTTTGATACTTATAAGCTAGACTAGAATACTAATGAGTTTTGGTAATTGAAGCAGTCAGGAAGTATTTGTTTTATGTTACATGTGAACAACATAATAAAGAAAAATAGTAAGAGTGGATTGTTGTGAACCTTGGTGATCTATCTATGGACTTTTGCAAAATTGCTGCTTGAACAATGCCAAGGGGAACTTGTTTTGCTTTGCGGCATTTGCTAATTTTATCTTTTTTCACTTGATAGTCTATGTTTTGTTTGAAATTTTGCTATGGGAGCTGTGGTGAATAAGGCATATTTTTTTTGAGTACAGCGTTCTGATATGTGAGCTATTTAACTTGTCCATCAAAAATCAGATTCATTTGAGAGCTGTCTCTATTGCTCTATTTTATATTGTAGCAGAATGATGATTTTTATGTGTTTCTGTCCCTAATGCAGCTCTTTGATGATTTTCTTATATTGCAGTGGTGCTGAAGATGTTGCTTTGATAGAGTACGCACATTTAACTGGACGACCATACAGAGTATTCAGCCTTGATACTGGGAGGTTGAACCCGGAGACATACCAATTATTTGACACAGTGGAGAAGCACTATGGCATTCGCATTGAATACATGTTCCCTGATTCAGTTGAAGTTCAGGCGTTGGTTAGGACCAAAGGGCTTTTCTCTTTCTATGAGGATGGCCACCAAGAGTGTTGCCGTGTAAGGAAGGTTAGGCCTTTGAGGAGAGCTCTAAAGGGCTTACGCGCCTGGATCACAGGCCAGCGTAAAGATCAGTCCCCTGGAACTCGATCAGAAATCCCCATTGTTCAGGTGGACCCTTCTTTTGAGGGGTTGGATGGCGGTGCTGGTAGCTTGGTGAAGTGGAACCCTGTGGCTAATGTGGACGGAAAAGATATTTGGAACTTCCTGCGTGCCATGAATGTGCCTGTGAACTCATTGCATTCACAAGGATATGTATCCATTGGATGCGAACCTTGCACAAGGCCAGTTCTACCAGGGCAACACGAGAGAGAGGGAAGATGGTGGTGGGAAGATGCCAAGGCCAAGGAGTGTGGCTTGCACAAGGGCAACATCAAGGATGAAACTGTAAATGGCGCTGCCCAAACAAATGGTACTGCTACCGTTGCTGATATTTTTGATACCAAGGACATTGTTACCTTGAGTAAGCCTGGAGTTGAGAACCTAGTAAAATTGGAAGACCGAAGAGAGCCTTGGCTCGTTGTTCTTTATGCACCTTGGTGCCAATTTTGCCAGGCAATGGAAGGATCCTATGTTGAATTGGCTGAGAAGTTGGCTGGTTCTGGTGTGAAAGTAGGGAAATTCAGGGCAGATGGTGACCAGAAAGCATTTGCACAAGAAGAATTGCAGCTTGGCAGCTTCCCTACAATACTCTTCTTCCCAAAGCACTCTTCAAAGGCCATTAAGTACCCTTCAGAGAAGAGGGACGTAGACTCCTTGCTGGCTTTTGTGAATGCTCTCAGATGAAAAGCAAATGGTGTTTTTGATCAATCACACCATTGTTTTGACAAAGAGGGAGATATGTGGGAGTTGTAGAATATAGTGAAGAATGGTGGCAAGATGCAGCACCTTCCTCTTTGTGCTTTATAAGTTGTTTCTTCTTGTATAGTGTTTTTAGTATATGGTGGCTCTCCCTTCTCCTCCTCTGCATTTTATTTTCCTTAGAAATCCTACATAAGAAGACAAATAAGTTTTTATTACTTTCCCATCCCATCCTTCTCAAATAGAGAAGTATATATGTCTTGAGGGCTCAATTTTGTTGAGTGTTTACTTCTCCATATTATAGATTTTGCCCATCTTCTCTCATTCTTCTTCTAATTCCCTTGATGTCTCTATAATTAAGAACAACTCTCTCTTAACTTTTATTAGAGAATATTTGGCTGTATTTATCCGAGTTCATTCACGGTTATTAGCGTTTACTATGAGAAATGATTTCGAATCCGTCTATGCTACAGCAAAAACCTTGATTAATACCATTATATGACAGGAAAAATTGTACTCATAGCTTGACAAAAGGTTGAAGCAAATACCATTATATGACAGGAAAAATTGTACTCACAAAAGGTTGAAGCACTATGTCATAACTCATAAAAATGGTGAGTGTGGAGACCAGTCAAGGTTCACCATCAAGAACACCAAATTGAAGACCTATCAGATAATTGCAAAATTCAACCACACCAATAATGATTGCGGTCTTTATTATTAAGTAATCATAAATATAGAATTCGAGCCTTAATTATATCAAAAGAAAACACTTTACCTTCTATTGTGATATACTAATACTTGAAAAGTTTGTATATTTAATTCGAAACAGGAAAAGAATTCATGTGAATATTAAATTGTGCATGGTTCAAATAGAACAAAGAAAGTTTCATTAGAAAATTAAGACCACCAATACCGAAATGAGTTCAAAGGAATAAGGTGGTTAATATGTTTTTATTTCGATCTCTTAGTCTCAATTTATATATATGATATCTTTTTATTATTTAAAAATTATATAATTTTTTTTAATATTAAAATTTACTGTTTTTTAACAAAACATCGATGAGAAATTTAGTTGATTCACCTCCCATTTTCCCCACCCGACCGACCCCCTAAAAAAGAAGGGTATAAAATGAAGGTTTTTAATTAATAGAGCTCAACTGAAAACAATAGAACCCTAGGTTTCCCAAAATTTCCTTCTCCTTTCTCTCTTTGTTTTGGTGTCGTCTGCGTCAATTTTCTTCCTCCTCAGGTAAGACTTAATTGTTCCGTTCAAATTTACTTTCCTCTCTTTTTAAGCTTCAGATTTTAGTTTATGTTCATATGTTCAATACTCAATACAGTATGCACTTTTTCAAGTGCAATTAAAAGTTGTTTTAGCAAATTGATCCTTCTCATTAATTTGATCATTTTTTCTGCATTCCTTGTTAGATAATGGATGATAAGGTTGTTACTATGGATGATCAAATTGTATCAGAGCTTACAATCCCAGAAAATGTCGCCAAAGAATTATTACTTGTGTCAAACTCATCTTCTTTAGAAACGGCACTCGACAAGCTGATACAACTTTCCAAGGAGGGGGGTGGACGGTTAGATCTGTCGTCCAAGAATGTTGTCACCACTGTCCTCCATCTCTGCCAGTCTCTGTCATCTATCTCTTACCGTAACCTCCTTTTATTGTCTCTTAAGGTACTCAGAAATCTGTGTGCTGGGGAGATAAGAAATCAGAATGGCTTTCTTCAACAAAGAGGAGTTGAAATTGTCTTGGATGTTATTATGTCTGTAGGACTTTCTCCTGATCCTGATTGTATGATTATTCGAGTGGGGCTGCAACTTCTAGGAAACTACTCAGTGGGTGGAGGAGAACGTCAATGTGATGTGTGGTACCAATTGTTTCCTCATAAGTTCTTGAAGATTGCTAGAGTTAGAAACCAGGAAATATGTGATCCTTTATGTATGGTCATTTACACTTGCTGTGATGGTACGGATGGACTGCTTACCGATTTATGTTCAGAGCAAGGGTTGCCCATTCTGTTTGAAATTTTGCGTACTGCATCAGCCGGTAAAGACCAGTGAATTTTGTAACTTCTGATTTAATAGAACTTCTGTTATTTGATTATTATGGTAAGCTTATGCGTTCATACTCTTTTGCAGTTGGTCTTAAAGAAGTTTGGTTGAAGTTGTTACTCTCAAAACTTTGCATTGAGGGCTCCCACATCTCATCAATTTTCTTCAAATTACATTCATATCCTTCCGTTGAGGACAATGGTGTTGTTACACATGTAGCTGATCAGTTTGTTATTGAGCAGCCTTATCTCTTGAGTATACTTTCAGAAATCTTAAATGAACGAGTAGAGCATATTGTTGTTTCTCATGATTTTGCTCGAAGTATCTTTGGGATATTGAAGAGTGCTTCTGGGGTTGTTGATTTTTCAATAAGAGGGAAAAGTGATCTTCCAGTGGGGTCTGCTCCTATTGATGTTCTAGGATACTCTCTCACCCTCATGAGAGATATTTGCGCTTCTGATCACTTATCAAGCTCTAAGGAAGAAAGTTCAAAGGATGTTGTGGACGTACTTGTTTCCTCTGGGCTTATTGAATTTCTTTTGAACTTGCTTCGGGATCTTGAACCTCCAACGACAATTAGGAACGCAATGAAGCCGGATCAGATCAAGGAGGGGACAATACCTTCTTCATTTAGGTGTTGTCCATACCAAGGTTTCCGGAGAGATATTGTTGCCATCCTTGGAAATTGTGCTTATAGGAGAAGGCATGTCCAAGATGAGATTAGGGATAAAAATGGGATCCTTTTACTGCTACAACAGTGTGTTATAGATGAAGATAATCCTTTCTTAAGGGAGTGGGGAATCTGGTGTGTGCGAAACCTATTGGAAGGGAATGCAGAAAACCAAGGGGCTATTACTGATTTGGAGCTTCAAGGAACCGTAGATGTTCCAGAACTTGTTAGACTTGGGCTTCGAGTAGAAGTTGATCCCGTAACTCGACGCACAAAGCTTGTGAATTCCTCATGATATGTCAAGTGATGAAAGTTAAAAATTGCAACTTCTGGAGTTGACAAACTGATTGTTCAGGAAACTTGTTTCTTGGTCTGCTTAAGATTGATTCACATGTTCTGGAATGTCCATAAGAGGTAACACACAAACTTCATCTTACTATAGTTTTATTATAACTTGTATTTTACCTCCTAGGTTGACAGGTTTCAGTTTGTATAATTAGTGGAAAAACTTAATATTATTAGACTTGTACTGATGGAATTCCTTATGTACAAAATCTACTCATATGCCATTGAGTATTAGTAACTAATTTTCCGGAGCTTCCATTACAATGGGCTCAAGAGTGAACCTAGTTGAGATTTCGTGATTTGGTGAGAGTTTGTGGTAGAATGAGTTAGATTTGATGAAAGATATCATGGGTTGCTAAAAATTTCTGATAGAAGTTCTGTTTTTGTTAAATGTTTATTGAAGTGGCTATATTCTGCTTCTTATGGATACGTCCACCTCTGACCCTATATAATTGTAAAATAATGTTTATTACCAGTTAACTGCATTTCTTCAATGTTTCCTAATTTTTGCTTGTGGATCCTACTTTCACTTATTCATGCATATTCTTAACTGCGTTTCTTCAAGGTTTCCTAATTTTTGCTTGTGGATCCTACTTTCACTTGTTCACGCATATTCCATGCTAGAGGCTGTTTAATCCTGTCATTTCTGTTAGGAATCATTAGCAACTTTCATGTTCAGAGAAGTGCACCGACTTACTAATACCTGAGTTTTTATATTTATTTGTTCTTTCTCTAGGCTAGAGGTGGGACTCAAGAAGTACACTTCCTGCCTTTTACACCTGTCAACAAGCACACAACTATTACTTTCATAGAATTGATGGCAATTGACATAGGTTTAGCAAAGGGTGACTTGAAGAGATGAGCCATAGCTTGAAAGTCACAAGATTTCTTACTACAAGAATGGTATGACTCCTAATTGGATGAACAACTGTACATCATATTAATTATCAAAAATAGGATTCTCCTACATACAGCTGATTAGTTTAGAATGTCTTATTAGAGTGTCTACTGGCAGTGCTTGCTTGACGCAAATTAAAGGACAATTTCTCGAGATAGCTTTGCCGCAAATGTATTGGAACCTTTTTTTATATATGTAATTATAAAATTCTGTTTCACCACTGTTTTTAGTTGTGCATTAGGATTCTAAAGACTCTTTATCCACGTGACCTTAAATGTTTTCAAAAGCATCTTAGGCTCCTGGCTTCTTTTGTCCTATCTTGTTCAATTCATTCTGAACTTGACTCTAGGGTGAACTCATAAAAATTCACTTGAGCTTGATGCTCAGCTATGTACTGGAACCACATAGTTCTGACTTCTGAGAGAATAGGAGATCTCTCTTGTAATCTGGCTGTGATAAGAAATAAGATCATGCAACTTAAGAGGCCATATACTTGAACTTTTTTCTTCCTGTATCTCGAGATAAGAAGTAGAGCCATCTCTCCAGTTATGTCCTTGGTTTGAAGAGAATATGGGTGTCGGGTTGCAACTTGCAAGGCCGCAATTAGCCCTATAGAAGAAAATCATAAGCTTGAAGAGAAGAGAAAAGAACCCTTGGATGATGCAGGGATCAGAGCTTGTGGGAGAACTTAGATATCTTACTATCACTAGACCTAACATTACCTATGCTGTGGGAATCTCTCTTTTGTTGATCTCCACATTCTTTTTGATACTAGAAAGCACGAAACTCGTGATTCTACTTCTTGTCTGTTTCTGGAAGGACATATGTTCCTTTTTTTTTTCTGTGTTGCTCTCTGTTTTTTTGTTTATTTTTTGCCTCAAAGGGGATGTATGTATATCTCTTTATGGAGAATCAGTGTTGATCATGTATATAGGTGGAGAATCAGTGTTGATCATGTATATAGGTGATCTCAGAAACAAGTATGCATAAGTATTAACCCAAATACTATTAAACTTCACTTTTTATAATTTGATAGATTGTGTTAATCATTAACTAATTACCTTAATTTTGTTGGCAGAGTACATACATTACAGACAATAAAACAGATGGATTTTGATACCAAGGAATGAAGAGAGTGTTGAAGTCATGGACGCTCAGAGTACATTACAATTTACAAACCTATAATTTCTTCTTTTTGAAAAATTGAAAACTTAAGTGGTATAAATAAAGGCCACTGTAATTTATTTCTGAAATAGCTTTAATAGAAAAGCTGTTGTGTATTTGTCTTAGGGTTCTTTTTTGTGTCAGCCAACCAATGTCTCTCCCTCCACATGTTATTATTTTCCACCTTTTTTTTCACCTTTCTCTGAAGAAACTGTGATGGGGTCACTTCAGTCATTACACAAGTGCAAAGTCAGGTATCTAATAGCCAGCCTGGAATTTGAGAAGTATCTCAAAAGAATTCCAACAAGTAGCCTAGTGTTCAGTAAAAATCTTGTCTTTATTTACAATTTTTTTTTTAATCTTTCAGAAAACTTTCTATTTATTTCGCACATTAAATTAGGGTTGTTTAGTTTATTATGATGTAGGGATTTAATCAAAATATGATCATACTGTAAACAGTAATGAAGTAATTATTATGTGAGGAATACTGATATGTACACAAATGACATTTTAAAATTCAACATAACTCAATGCAGTTGACAGTTTAAAAGCTTCAGTAGTTATGCGCGAAATTCATTCATACAAACCTACTAAACGCAGCTTTTACTATGTGAGAACTTTTTTTTTATTTTTTATTCTTCCCATGTTTATACATATTTTGCTGAAATTAAGTTTTCTTAGATTTCAACCAAACAACCCGTTATATTGTTCCAACTTTGTACCAAACCCATTAAAGAAACAAAGAAAGTGCTTCAGAAATTGCAGAAACTTGTCACTGTTCCAATTTTCTTGTCGGTTCACAAGGTCATTATTGTCATTCTTACCCCACAGGAACATAAAATCCAACATTATTGGCGCATAAGCATTGCAGTAAAAATAATGCACCAAAAGCTACCTTAAAGTCCATTTTACTTGCAAGAATTGTTTATATGTTTTTCTTTTTCTTATAGCTTACTCCAAATTTAGATCTTGCAAGTCAAAAATTCCTTATGTCAATTGCCCCTTTTAGTAGTAAACAGCAAAAAATTTCTCAAGATAATGCAATCCCTACCTGAACCTGAAACAGAAGATGATACAAGAAAACATCAAGCTTCTCTTTAATGGCAAATACTAAAAAGTTCCCTCCTTTCTTCTTCTTCTTTGTCCTCTTCTCTTGCTGCTTCTTCTCCACTTCAAGTTCAAATTTTGCACCAGGTAACATTTATGAACCAATCTTGAAAAAAAAAACATGTCTTTTTTTTTGTGGGGTTTCTTGATTTTGTATTTTTTTTTTCTGAATATGGTTCTTGAATTTGTTGCAGAGATAAAAGTGCAGCAAGACAAAGATGAGCCATATGTGGGAGTGAACATAGGTACAGATGTTTCCAATTTGCTTTCACCTGCAGACTTGGTTGCTTTTTTGCAATTACAGAAGATAACTCATATAAGGCTTTATGATGCTGACCCTGATATACTCAAAGCACTAGCTAAGACCAAAATAAGAGTGATTATTAGTGTGCCTAACAACCAAATTCTTGCTATTGGGTCCTCTAATACTACTGCAGCTGCCTGGATTGGGCGCAATGTGGCAGCTTATTACCCTGAAACTCTTATCACTGCAATAGCAGTTGGGGATGAAATCTTGACCACTGTGCCAAGTTCAGCTCCTTTGCTTATGCCAGCAATTGAGTCACTTTATAGTGCTTTAGTGGCTGCAAATTTGCATAACCAAATCAAGATTTCAACTCCAAATGCTGCTTCCATTATTCTTGACCCTTTTCCACCTTCCCAAGCTTTTTTCAATCAGTCCATGAGCTCTGTCCTTTCTAAGTTATTGCAGTTCTGTTCAAGGACACAGTCACCTCTGATGATGAATTTGTACCCTTATTATGTGTTTATGCAGAATAAAGGGGTTGTTCCTATAGACAACTCTCTTTTCAAGCCCTTGACACCTTCTAAAGAGATGGTGGATCCTAATACTTTGCTTCATTACACCAATGTGCTTGATGCAATGATTGATTCAGTCTATTTTTCCATGAAAAATCTCAATATTACAGATGTGCTAGTTCTTGTTACCGAGTCAGGATGGCCTTCAAAGGGGGATTCTAAAGAGCCTTATGCTACAATTGACAATGCTGATACTTATAACTCGAATTTAATTAAGCATATAATTGATCGCAGTGGTACACCATTGCATCCGGAGATTACTTCTAGTGTATACATATATGAGTTATTCAATGAGGATTTGAGGTCACCCCCATTGTCCGAGGCAAATTGGGGGCTATTCCATGGGAATTCAACGCCTGTTTACCTGCTTCATGTGTCTGGAAGTGGTACATTCTTGGCTAATGACACCACTAACCAAACGTATTGCATAGCAATGGATGGGGTTGATAAGAGAACAATGCAGGCAGCTTTAGATTGGGCTTGTGGACCGGGGAGGGCAAATTGCTCTGAAATTCAGCCAGGAGAGAGTTGTTATCAGCCTAATGATGTGAAGAACCATGCTTCATATGCATTTGATAGCTATTATCAGAAAGAAGGGGGATCTCCTAGTTCTTGTGACTTCAAGGGAGTGGCCATGATCACCACAACTGATCCAAGTAAGTCTATCATAATCTTAGTTTCTCTGTGTATTTAGTTTTCTTTCTATTTCAAGAAAATATTAGTTCCAATGCATTAAGTTGAAGTTTGAAGTTTTAGTTATGGATTTATGAGCTACACTTAAGTTTGTTACAATGAGAGAGCTGAAATGGATGATACAAAAGTTAATTCTTTATTAGGTGATTTAAGCATTTTGTCCCAAACTATTTCATGTTCAACATTTTAATGTAAAATATCTTTGAACCATCCCATTTGAAAAACACAACAACAACAAAACAATCCAATTCAAAAATAATTTATGAACCATAAAGAATGTTTAATGGCCTTCTTAAGTTGATTCAATGATACACTGACAACTGTAATCACAAATGTCATGTTCTGCAAAATAATTCATGACCTAGTGGTTACCAGACCCACAATGGAACTTTAGTGCCCACTTGGATATGGAAGATTTACACTTGGATGGTGGAAATAAAATTTGAAATAGGATTTCAGTTTTTATATAGTTTATGCTCCATTTTAGGGTCCATACAAATAGAGATGTACTTGATATTCAATTTTATATAAAATAACATACTTGCACCCATGGGTGAAAACTGACACCATAAGAAACCAGAGTTCGAATCTCCGCGAAGACAAACGACTTCACATGATTCGTTTCAACTTGCTTAGGCCTTGGTATATGTGTTGTGTGGGAGATGACGATGTACATATAAGTTCGACCAGACAGCACCGTTATTAGATAAAAGTACTAACATATTATCAATAGAATGGAAACACAAGAATGCATATGTTGTTTTGTGGAGTTTGACTTAACCAGAATAGAGTACTTATATCATGTTTATATATATATATATATATAGCTAGCAAGTATAGGGCTCCACTTGTTTCCTATTTTTAAAGTGAAGTCTATTCTAAATTATTTAGCTGAAGCTCTGAACTTATGTCTTTCCATTTGTGGGGAATATATGCAGGTCACGGGAGTTGTATATTTCCAGGAAGGTGAGCATAAATTTTTGTCCTTTTTTCCCCATACTATTTGTCCTTGTCCTTCTCATTTCCCCATGCTGATATTAGCTGTAAAATCACTGTTTCCCTATTTCTTTTGATGATCATCTTGGGTTAGAACGTAGACTTACAATCGGTAAACTACTAAAATGCAGCAAGAAAGTAAGCAATAAAACAAGCGAGGTAGTGAACGCGACACAACCAAGTGGAGCAAATACAATAAGGTTTCTTGGAGCACAGACAAGTATATTTGACAAGAATGTGCATGTTTTATTTGGTGTTGCCTTGTGCTTGTTTTATTATTCATTGATTCAGGTACAATTAAGTTAATTAGTTTTTTAGTTGAAATCTTTTTATTTGTTCAATAAAGAAAGTAGTACTAGTTCATTGTGGAGAGGGCAGTGATGTTTTGCAGAGGAGTGCTTATGAATATTTTTTTGGGAGGATCACATGTAAGGGGATTCTTTGATGGACCTTTTTGTAAAAAGAAAGTTGTATCTAATGAGATTCTTGGAAGTTCTTTCTCCTTATAATCCTTAAGCTGGAGATGAAGTGGTGGAAATCTTGATTTGCCTTAGTTTGGTCTACCAATTAAATATGTTTATTTGCTATAAAAAAGAAATTGGAAAAATGGATCTAGATAAATTAAAAAGAGGATTAAAGCAACAAAAGAATTTCTTAAAGAAAAAGAAGCAGTCCTCTGGCTCTCTTTTGTTTCTTGGAAGCCAAAACAGAAAATAGATCCTCTTTTTGGCTCAAAAGCAGAATAGTTTTTTAGTATAATGCACCTACTTTAGTTCTGGAACTAAATAGGACACCACTAGTAGCTCTTTATTTATTTTATGTTTTCTTTTCTGTGCCATCAATTTTCCAAGTATATGGTTTCTTTCTGGAATGATTACGGTTCAATGTCTTTAGCCATCGAATGTATAAGTATGGTATGATTTAAGCATAATTATTGTATAAGTTTGGTATGATTAAGCATAATTTATATATCCTTTGATTTGGGCTTGAGACTGTCATGTTGGAGGTATCAAGTTTGAAATTTCTTGTGTGGGCTCAGGACTCCATGTTGAAAGTAGGGGTGTACAAAATCGAATCAAATTGCAAATCGAGTCTAACCGAAAAAAAAACTCGACTAACGGTTTGGTTTGACTCAGTTTGGTGTTGGAAAAAAAATTCGACTATATTTGGGTTAGTTTGGTTTCAACTAAAAAAAAATAACACGAGACCAAACCAACATGACATTATATATAATTTTAAAATTTTATTTATACGTAAAAATACTTATTTTGATATAATTTTTAAATATCTCTTATACTTTCTCATAGTTTTTATCTTTTAATATATTTATTTCATGTTTGGAAATAAGAATTCTTAATGATCTAATAAAGATTATAGTCCATACATGTTTGTAATTATAATAAAGTTTAAATAAAAATCAAATTAATACTAAGCAAAAAAAAATCAATTCGACACTAAGAATGACAATAACGTTGAATATTTGTTTTTATTTTTACATAGATTTAGACAATAAAAATACATGATCTAATTTTACTTTTTTTTTAATATTTAGTCATGTAACTAATACTTACTGAACTTATTTTAGCATGATTTAGTACTTTAAATTATGATCAATTTCATTATGACTTATTAATTTGCAATACTTTTTTTTACGCGATTTTATTATTATTTTTTTGTTAGATATTTTAGTGTCATTAATCATATCATATTTTTGTTATTTTCTTGAGAAATAACTTAGATATTTACATTTTCATAGGGACTAAAGAAATATTTGAAATACAAGTAAATTATATGTTTGTATGAAAACTTTATCGAAAAAATCTGAAAATTCGAAGTTGAAAAACCCGACTTTTATTGGTTTGGTTTATAAATTTAAAAATCCGACACAAATGGTTTGGTTTGATATTTGAAAGCTCGAACCAACCCGGTCATGTACACCCCTAGTTGAAGGTATCCAGTTCGAAAAAGAAAATGATTTACCTTCCAAGTCGAGCAAGCCTAGTGTGGGTTATCTCTCTTATGTGGTTTGCGATCTATTACCTATGTTAGGAGGGTTTTCACTGTATACACATCCAAAGGGTACATGTTGAGAAAAAATAAACATAATATATAGAATCAGGAATCTAGGTTTTGTATATTTCAGTCACATTGATAAATAATTTGGGCGAATTATATGTATTGGTAAGTTTCCTTCTTTTAATTCTTAGACTGAATTTGTGATAGGGGGTCACTCTCAAGTCTCAATTACAACTTATAGACTATTGATTTGGATTTATTGTATATTGGCAGTTTATTAAATATTGGTTCTTGTTGGGTTGCCTTTCAATTCATTAAATTGTCAAGCCTGCTTAAGTTGCAACCCATTTGTGGAATGTAGGTGGGGTGCTTTTGGTGAGTACCATTCTTGATATATATAGCCACTTTAAAATGAAAAAAAATAGAAAGGAAGGAAGAATCATAGTTGCTCTTTGTGATAATTTTACTGTGTTTGTTGTTATATCTCGATATAGCATGTGAATTAAAAGCTAATGCTCGATTGACTCATAATTGTTTTGAGAAAAGAAAAAGTCATTTTTGGATCAATTCAAAGCAAAGATATTTAAGATCTGTTCGAGAAAAATATGGTTTTGTGTTATCCGAATCTACTTTCATGCAATATGCCACGTCCAATCAATGGTTTTATTGTGATACATGGGTTATCTTACTTGATGTGTTAGGTAATAGAGGATACATTTATTCTTTTGTTCGTCAGAGTACAAACGTTACTATCAGCCCAAACACAGAAGGTTAAACATTAGTATTAAGTCCAAGGGGTATGAAAAACAACCAATATAAACAACATTTTCAATCAGCCAAGTTTCTGCATTATGCACATGAGGATTATTTGTGCCCCAACTTCATGATTTTAAAACTGTGACATCCATGCCAAGTAATTAATTCAAGTTACACCTCAACATTTTTTTAGGTCATTTGTGCCTTCAATTTAGCAGTCATGGTGGCCTTAACATAGTAACCTGTTGAAAACTTTAATAGATCAAGATTCATTTAAGGATAAATGTTAGGTTTCAGATAAACAGAATACGGATAAAAATCATTTAGCTTCATCCCATTTAAAGAAATTCTGCATAGAGTGCCTTTAAACAATATTAAAGTTGTCTTTGTGTGACTCGTGAATACATCCAAATAAACTCTTAATATTCAGTGCATCAAGCTGTCTCTAAAATTCTATAGTGGGAAGAGTAGTATTACCATTGATTGTTGCCACTAGCCAGGTTGATGTTGGTTAGTTTGTAATACGGCAAATGCATTAGCAATTTGACCTTATATTTTGAGATAGTTTTCATTTTCCTTATATATGTTTCATCATTCAACTGTTGAAACATTTCCCATGTTTGTCGAGCATTAGTGTGTATATACCAAGTCCAAATAAAGGAACAGAGAGCACTAGTGTGACTATAGTCAATTTATGGCCCTAAAGTAATGACTAATGTGCATATAACTTAAAGTATATATATATTGATTATAAGTTGAATACAAATCAAAATTGTGAGCTGAAGCAGTGATTGACGCCTGAACACCCATTGAGTTTTCAGGTAAACTACAAATTGGGCTGACTTTAATAACTTTGTAGATTTTGATGGATAAATAATTTGTACTACCAAAAAGACAAGGCTATACCTGTTGTCGGCAATTTTCTCCTCTTGTCACTATTTTGGCTGAACCCAATTGGGATTGTAACAGCTGGCCTTAATAACTACGATACACGCCAAACTTTGACCACATCATCATCCTTTTGGCTCGTAACAGATAGCAGCGGAGTCAGAATTTTTATTAGCTGCGAATTAACAAGTAGATTTTGAGCCAAAAACACGTTCTTACTTCAAAATAAATACTTACCTAATTTGTAGAGTTGACTAAAGTAGCTCTATTGTGCATAGGTATAATTATTCGTTTATTAATTGTCCAAGATTTACGTACTTAAAACCAATCGGAAATGAAGCATTAGATCTTAGATTTACAGCCTCTTAAATGATTGGCAACACGTTCCAACTAATTGGATGAAGAGTAATTTTAGATTTTTTCTTATAGTTTAGAAATATTTTTAGCCTTTTTCTGTGTTAAAAATATAAGAAAGTTTAATTTGTCAAACAACGTATGTACTCCAAAACATGAACATAATAGAATTACTTCTAAAGAAACCCATAAGAACTTAGAACATGATCGATTTTAATTTTGAATTAACAATTGAGCATGCATGTGGGTTACAATTAATGCTTGATTAAACTTGGGGTTTTGTGATGCCAAATATAACAATTTTATAATCTTTACATCTCTTCGATCCAGGAACAAATTAAGTAAAAGGCAAACTCTATATACTTGGTCTTATTAAATTCGTTTTCTTTTATTATAAATTTTCAACTGAGTGTCTTGAATTCAAGTTGCAAATCTGATTAAATTGTGATGTGCGTTGTCAAGAGGCTCAAGCATATTAGTGACCTAAAATAAAAATTAAATGGGACCTTTAATTTGAATTGTTAAGAATTTTTATATAATTGATTTCTTCTAGTTTTCAGTTGATAATACAGCTATTCTTATTTTAAATTATTTTTCATGAGATATAGTACTCTAAATATGTCAACTTTTTTCTAGTAATTCTTTTATTTTCATGAAAAGTTTATTTTTTTCTAAAAATAGTATTCAATATTTGTAAAAAAAATAATTTATAACCTATTATTTTTAAAAATGAATCCCCTTAAAAATCTAGAGACTTAAAACATATGTTTTTTTTTAACACTATCGAGCCACCCATGCGCTTAAAGGTAGTATTATATTTGCTTACAACAGTAACTCATTATGTACTAAGAACTTGCATTTTTGCGTAGGTTGCTATATTTTCTAGGTTGACTTTTGGATTTAATTTAAGGCAAATTCGTGATGGGAAGGTTATGAGTTTTTATAATAATTTAAAATTGGTATATTAGACTAAATACATATAAATAAACATTTGTTTTTAATATAATAAGCAAATAAGGAAAAGAGGATACTATACATATAACTTGACGAATACAGAAATTAGTTGTTCACTTCATAAATTTATTACTAGTTGGTTTTATAGTTTTGTTTTTTGCTTTAAATATTTGATAAAACTAAAGATTCCCTCCGAGAAACTCTCCAAGGAATCACAAAAAAAACTTCTGAAATATCAATTTATCTTGAGATAATAATACTTCTGATCCCTTAATTATTAGTAAATTTTATCTTAATTCTTATGGTATTAGATAAAACATATTTAATCTTAAGTTGATTGAAAGACATTATTGAGTAAGTTCTATGTGATATTAGATTGTTTTAAAAATATTTGCTAACTACGATAAATATGCTTAGTAATCTATATTATCAGAATTAAGACAAATTTATCACTGAGGGTGATTTTTATTTTTTTTCAATTAATTTTTTTTTTTATATTTGGTAAAATACTTTCTAACAAAGATAATTTTATAGGGAAAAG